ACCAAATACAATTTCAGCGCTCTCTCTCTCTCTCTCTCTCTCTCTCTCTCTCTCTCACACACACACACACACACACACACTTTCTCATTGCTTTATTAGTGCTTAACTATACATTTTTTTTTTTTTTTGGCGGCTTTGGTTTTGCTTTTTGTTTTTTCGAGACAAGGTTTCTCTGTAGCTTTGGAGCCTGTCCTGGAACTAGCTCTTGTAGGCCAGGCTGGCCTTGAACTCAGAGATCCTCCTGCCTCTGCCTCCCAAGTGCTGGGATTAAAGGCGTGTATCCCCCTCCCTGACTCTTAACTATCTTTCTTAAGAGACCGTTTGAGTGTGCTTGAATTTATAGTGTTCTATTATTGACACAGTTTCTTTGTAGCTTTAGTTGTTCTGGTACTTGCTATGTATATCAGGCTGGCCTCAAACTCTAAGAGAGCTATTTTCCTCTCTCTGCCTCCTCATTGCTGGCTATCACACTGGCTTATTTGAGTATCTTTAATGCAAAACATGTTTTTAAATTTACAGGTAACGGTTCCATTGGTGTTGTATGTGTTACTGCTGAGGAAGACTTGAAACTGACCATTGATGGGATGGTTGACGGTTACTTCAGTGTAGTTTTAATTTGCTCAGATATGCAGGAACATCTGAGATCTCAAGTTTTTTACCTTGGAGTTAGGTCCATCTGTCGGTCTGTCCATCTGTCCTCTCTCCTTCCCTCCCGCTGTTTCTTTTCCTATTTGTCTGTTTGGTTTCCCTGGACTCACGTTACTAGGCTGGCCTCTGCAGAGATTGAAAGTGTGCACCACGATGCTTTATTGGAGTTAATGTATCTGCTAAGGAATACTGGAGCTTTTTAAAAAAAATGTCACATTTATTTAGTATGTATAAGTGTTTGGTATGCATGTGCGTATATGCAATGCTGACCCTTGTCTCAGATAGAAAAACAACAACAGTTAAGCTAGAAACAAAAAGAAAAAAGATGAAACCTTTTGGTTCCTAGTGCCAGGGTTTCAAACCCTCTGCCCTTTTATCCTAGGAGTACAAAGACTTTTGACATGTAGATTTTTCTTATTCTTATTCAGCTTTATCCAGAGGTTTTTGGGTGGCTATTTTTCATTTATTTATTGGTTGATCTTTGTTGTTTGTTTGTTTTGTTGTTTTTTGTCTTTTGGTTTTTCAAGATAGGGTTTCTCTTTGTAGCTCTGGCTGTCCTGGAACTAGCTTTGTAGACCAGGAGGCCTCGAACTCAGAGATCCATCTGACTCCACTTCCTGAGTGCTGGGATTAAATGCGTGTGCCACCAATGCCTGGATATCCAGAGTTTGTTTGTTTGTTTGTTTTTTTTTAAAGGAGTGTAAGAAAACTGTTCTTCTGTGATAGCTTAGCATCTTTCATTGTAACTCAAAACATTGTGTGGACACGTGTTTGTGTGTGTGTGTGTGTGTGTGTGTGTGTGTGTGTGAGGGTGGGAGAGAGTCTCCCCATCCCCATATGGAGGACAGACGACAGCTTGTAGGAGTTTTTCTCCTTCTGCTATATAGGATCCTGGTCATCAACTGTAGGTGGTAAGGCTTGGGGAGGTACTTTTAGCTCATATAAGGGACTGGCAACAACTTGAGGAACTATTGTTTCTTTTCATTGTTTTTCTGTTTGGCAGAGGAGAAAGTTGGCATGCCTTCTGCATTTCCTTATTTATGTTCAGACACTCACTACATTGCTCTCCAGATCAGAACCCCATCATGCAAGAGAGTGTTACTAGAGGTAGTAGTTTTGTTTAGTTGTGGGTTTTGGATCCTCCTAGCATGCTGGAATGTGTGTTTACTACCATGTATGGCAACAGTAGCATTTTTATGCCTACTCTGATCTTAACAGTAACAATACTAATGGTTCACGCTCTCTCTACTTCTTCCTCTCCCTCTCCGTCCCTCTTTCCCCCACTCCCCATCTCCCCCCTCCCTCTCTCCCTCCCTCCCTCTCTCTCTAATAAGTTATTAATAATAATAAGATAGTTATTAGCAGTAACTATCTTTTATAAAATGTCACTGTATGGTGATAATTCAGTGTGTGTTTTGAGATGCCCATTTCCTTTTGGAATAGGACCACTGTCTCTTGTAAACTCATGCAATGAGGGACAAAGAAGGAAGTCAAAGCAGTTTGTCATCAGATACCCAGATTGTGCCTTCAGTATTTATTGTGAAGCACTACATGACTTTGAATAGTTGCTTGATTTCCCTTGCGCTCTCTATGAATGGGTTGTAATCCGCATAGATGTTCATTACTGCTTTCCTTCCAAAAGCACTTCCTAGCAGCTCAGTTGCTGGTCATTGGCTCCTTTGTGAAATCGTGACTGTGCCCACTAGATGGCATTAGTATGAGATTTTTCAGGATCTTGCCAATTTTCTAATTTTGTTTTGGGTTTCCTATTTCTAGCTAATATTGTACCATTTGCATAAAGAGAATGTGCCAATGTTGCTGTATTCTATTATATAATCAAATCTGATGACCATAGATTCATAATTAGCTTTTGTTAAATTGTTTACTACAAAATGTTCTCAAGGAACTCTCCCATTTTTCTTATATTCACTAATTATTAATCAGTCTTTACCACAGGCTATATGGAGTCTCTTGTAAGGCTTGTATATGCTTTCTGTTAGCAGAAATGATCCTTACCTTAAAAGTGACCACATGAATGTGGGGAGCGCAGGTTTAGGTTACATGGGATGATTTATAGTATTCACACATATTTCTATGTGTATTTATTTACAATTTACAAGTAATGAGTTATATTGAATACCTCATGAAGTACTTAGCATGGAAAGTCTGATGGAATGGGATCAGATCATGTCAGAATGCCTTCAGCAGTTACAGTCTATATGTACCGCCTTTCTCTCTCAGCTGTACACTATACTGAAGCCCACCAACAGTGGGACTTTTCACTGAGATGGACTTGTTTACAGTAGGGCTATGGGGTGGAAAAGAAGCAAATCAAGCAATTGTTGAGAGTGTGACGGTTTCAAAATGTTTTAGGTTTTTACTCGGCTTTTCCCTTGATTTTTTTTTTTTTTACTTTTTTTAAAAATTGTTGTTATTATCATCATCATCATCATTATTGATTCTTGAGATTGCACCTAAGGCCTCATGTATGCTAAGTGAATGTTCTACCACTAATCTGTGTTCTCAGCCTCTTGGCTGCCCCTCTTGTGTGGACTGTCTCAATTTGCTAGAGACACTATTTTTCAGATAAACTTGCAAAGGCCACAGATGCAACTTCCAAGCTATACAGTCCGGATGGAGAAGTGTTTTGAATGCTTGAGAAATCCACCCGGTCCCTCTTTTTCAGTGCTTGGTATTCATTAGATGTGTACAGGGCAAGGCCTTTTCATTTTTATCAGCATCATGGTGAATTCTTTGAAAAGGAATGCTGAAGTACTTTAAAAATCTGCACTGGATTATATTTCTTTTTTATACAAATTGGCAAGATTAATTTTTTACTGTTTTTAAGGAAAATTAGTGTATAGAGAGTAAGATACAGTTTAAACTGACCACTGTGCTCCACACATGCAACTTTTTATTTAAAAAATTTTTAGATATATTTTATGTGTATGAATGTTTGCCTGTGTTTATATTTGTGTACCTGGCATTCATGTGGATTCTAGGAATTGAACATGGAGCAAAATGAGAAAGTGCTTTTGCTGAACCATCTCTCTAGCCCCCTCATCTTTTTGTTTAAAATTAGCCTATGTTTATATTTGAGACAGAATTAAATATTTCTATTTTATACATTGCAAGAATAGTTATAGTGATAATTTAGTTGAGTTTGGGAGATTGCACCTTCTGGTGTCTCTTGATAAATATGCCTATAGTTTAAGGCTTGTACTATCTGTTACTTATCACCTAGTGATGTGAGCTGATCTGTTGATGGGCCCCAATGTTGATGGGCCCCAAAGAAAGAGCAGGTGATTGGAAGCTATATTCTAGGAAAAGGACTGTTTAGCAATTCCTAAGCCACTTACATTTCTGGAACGAAGCCTATTGAGGCCCTTTACAAGTTAGGCTGCTAGTTTCCCCTTTCTTCATCATTATTCATGATAAATTGTTATATCTAGTAAAGCAAGGAGAGAGGTTTTTTTTTTTTTTTTGTTTGTTTGTTTTTTTCTCACGGCTTCTATATCTATGTTTCTTGCATAGTAAATACTTGTTAAAATGAATGGATGAATGATTGACTGTTAATACTCTATTTTAACATTTACATTCATGGGATAATCTTACTGGGAAGGTTTTTACACTTCTTTCTTGAAAATTAAAAAGTGTGCTAGACATGAGCTCACAATCCAAATTTTATTTATTTAAGATTTTGTGTGCAAGTGCAGATGTCACAACATGGGAGGTCAGAGACAGGGCAACTTGTCCCCTCTGGGTCTTAAACTCAGGTTGTTGGGCTTGGTGTCAGGAACCTGCTGATCCATCTTTCTGCTTCACAGTGAAAATTCGTACTTCTGTTCTTTTCACTGCATATGAAAAAGAAGATGTAGGAGACTTTGAATCTCCTGAAGCCAGGCATTTCTCTAATTCATTAGGTAAAGCTGCTAGTTTAGGAAGGTATGCAAAATCACTTTCCCAGAGAATAAAGTACATTCTCCTCATAGGTGAGAACTCAATGCTCATTGGGTCTGAAAAGTCCTGAGAGTAGACTATAACCCTTAGGATGATGTAGAAGTCACTTTTCAGTATTCTTTAAGGTGTACTTTAGTCATTTGGGGTTGTACATTTGCCGGTAGCCATTAAGGATTTTGCTTATGTGTTTATCTGTAGTTTAGGTTCATGAGACATATATCCAGTCTGTGAAGAGGGGAGACCAAACTGAGATGGTGACAGGAAAGACAGACTGAAGCATTATTCCTCCAGGGACTGGAGTGTCATGTGTAACAGAGGCTAATGAAGTTAAGAGATCTAAAACGTTGTTTCATAGGACAGTTCTCTAATACAACATCTCTCTCTTGCTTCAGCTATTCCAAAGACCCAACGCCCTTGCTGTCCAGCAGTTGACAGCTGCCCAGCAGCAGCAGTATGCGCTTGCAGCAGCCCACCAGCCTCACATTGGTAAGTCCTTAAGCTCAGAGCTCTCCTGCTATCTAGGAGCGGTGGATTCTGGGAGTTCTAGTACATTGATCAATGTCCATCCTATCACCTGGGAGGCAGAGAGGGGTTGAAGGATAGTGTGAATTCCAGGCCAACCTGGATTATACAGTGAAACTGTCAGAAAAAAAGAAAAGACCATGGTGGATGGAGTAAATTCAGAATAAATGGCCTTTTTCTTGTGTCCACTTGTCTCTAGCCCATATTTATTTTATTTTTGATGTGCTAGACCTGAACTTATAAGATTTCTTTGGTATATCCTTTTTTTATGTACCATAAATGTATCAGGATTTAAACAATTTATTAGAGAAATGACTTACCTTTTGGTAAGATTTAGGCAACAGATCCGGGTGTGGTGGTGCACACATTTATCCCAGCGCTCAGGAGGCAGATGCAGGAGTATTTCTGTGAATTGGAGACTAGCTTACTCTTCAGTGAGTTCCAAGCCAGCTAGGGCTACAGAATAACGTCTTGTCCCCCCAAATAAATAAATAAATTGATTTCAGCACCCATGATGGGGTAGTTGGGGTTTTGTGTAGATACTGTATCAGCTTCTCAGCTTACTGAGTAGCAATAGTGCTTTCATTGCTTGTAGATTCACCTTCTAAGCCTTGTCTTCCCTTTGTTGGGGTGACTTTGACACATATTTCAATCTTTACCATGACCTTTCTACTATTTGGAACTCTATTTTTAGTTTTTTAAGGCACAATTACTGTGTAGTCCCAGCTGGCTTCAGACTCAAGTTAATTCTCTTGCTTTAGCTTCCTGAGTGCTGATACTACAAATGTGACCGCTGTGCCTGGCAACCCCCCAGACCTTCCTCTCTATACATACCAATCCAAGTTCCCACTACCCCCATCCAAGTTCCCAGTACCCAGACCTTCTTAAGACTCTTCAGACTAAATTTTATGACTGCTCATAAGTGGTAGTGGAAATTTTTTTCATTCTTGCTTAAAAAGTACATAGACACGAGCAGAAAGGAGACCCTGGATGTGGTATGCAAGGAAAAAGAAAGAGTACTTAATCACACCCTAGTTGACACAAGAGTGGGCTGTCACTATACACATGTAAATTGTAGTCTTTATTAATGTTTTTGATGGAAATAAGTCTGTCTCAATAAGTATTTTGAAACAATTTTAACAGTAAAATTGAAAAGCTAATGAGTTTAATATTTGAAGAAGGAATTTAGTGTATACACAGTGAATTCAGTGTCTGTACACTTAGATCTAATTATAAAACAGTAAAATGAATGCCTAACAATCTAGCTGGCTCTAAGCTATAACGGACATTTGTATTGTGGATGTAGAGGGGTCACTTGACATTCAGGAATCTTTGGGTTTGGTCTCAGTATGGAGTCAAAATAAAAATGATGCATAAGTGATCTGTTACCAACATTACTTTAATAAAGATGTGAAGGGGCGCACAAAACGGTCTCAACTAGCCATGGTAGTCTACCACTTGGAAAACTGAGGTATGAGGAGTGTAAATTCAAGGGCTAGTTAGGATACAGAATGAGACCCCCATTTCAGAAAAACAGTCAGGGCTGGGCTGATGCTTAGTGAGTAATAGTGATTTTTGGGAAGGAAGAAGACCTGAGTTCAAATCTCTAGTACTCACAAAGACAAAGTAGATTGCAGCTTTGGGGAATGGGAACAGGAGGACTACTGGTATGTCCATGTAGCCAAAAACAACAAGCTTCATGTCCAACCATAAAGCGTCTTGAAAAATACTGTAGGAAGCCATAGAAAAGTGTTTCTTTATCTATGGGTTGTGACGTGTGTGTGTGTGTGTGTGTGTGTGTGTGTGTGTGTGTGTGTCCCTTTCACGGGGGGGTTGAATATCAGATACCGTGCGTATCTGATACTTACATTATTATAACAGTAACAACATTACAGTTATATTGCAGTAATGAAATAATTTTATTTTTGGGGGTCACCACAATATGAAGAACATTAAAAGGTCAAAATATTTGGAAAGTTGAGAACCTGTGCCATAGAGGAAGGAACCCATTGTCTTTCTCTGTATTCCCTATGTTCATACACAGACACATACACACATGTCACTATGGCTTGTTATATTGAGGGTATATTATCTTTGTGAAATTACTCTCTACTCTATAGCCTATCCTCTCTTCCCTTTATTTCCCTTCATCTCTAACCTGGAATGCTAGCTGAATTAGAGAGATGTGTAGTAGGGTTGCAGTTTGGTCCTTTATTTTTACTGACAGGTGTGTTTCCAGCAGGTTTAGCTCCCGCTGCGTTTGTCCCCAACCCATACATCATCAGCGCTGCTCCCCCGGGGACGGACCCCTACACAGCTGGATTGGCTGCAGCAGCGACACTCGGTGAGACATCTGCTGCATGAGGGATTTACTCACCTGCTAGAAAAGGGCATGCCTTCTTTCTACTCTGCCGAATACATATCTCCAACAACAACAAAAAAAGTTTCCTGATCTCAGCACTAGTCCCTTGCCAGTCATATTTCTCTGCTTAGCTATTACTCTCCCCTTTCTGCCTAGATAAACAAGGTGATAAACAAGATAAACAAACCTATCCTGGACCACTATCTTGGATCCATCCAATTGCTTGCTCATGTTGCAGGATATTTGTTCAGCTGTTTTCTGTTGGTACCACAGGAATTTTACTGTTTCCTTACCTTCTTGCTTTGTGGCTTTCTCTTCTTCCACTCCTCCAAATTGCATAGCTTTTAAACACAAATCTTATACACAAATGCCTTGTATTTCTCTTTTCCCTATTCTATACTGTTCCATGCTGCCATTATTGTTGTATACAGTTCATCATTAGAGCCTTAAGAGATGGTGGTTGTTCCTTGGACTTGGTATTACAGAGGAGCTACTAGTATTAAAATTCTGAAGATTGGCTGAGGTTGACTCCTTATGTATTGTCCTCCCTCCAGCAACTGGACCCCTGCACACTCTTCCTCCTGCGTGATCACATTGGCTCACACCACACACCACAGCTAGCCCCATGGGATTTCAGTTTCCTTACTTTCCCAACTTGGGTCTCTGTCTCCAGACATCCATCACAGTTTGTGCATGGGATGATCTCTTATACCTATGGTTTTTATTTGCTTGTAGATGAATTCGTGATGGTCTTGTCCTTCCTTCAATTTCCCATAAATGTTAAAGTGACTTCAGTTTAACATGATGATGAAAGCAACAACCTCTGAAGTCTTTTGGGGCACATGTACACCTCTCTAAGTTATGCTCATTTCAACAAAGTATCAGTGTGAGATTTCATCAACTGTGTGATCGGTGGTTCATTTATCTCTGGTGTATAGTTTTCAGTGATGATGTCACAGCAGCTTGTCATTTCTGAGATTGATCTCTAGAGTCGCTTCCCTGGTTATGATAGTAGCCTATTTAATGCTATTTCTTGTTCTGCCATTGGGGAGAGTGGAAAGCTCTGTCAGATAATGTGATCTTCTCTTGCTACCTCACTCCTTTTGGCCATGCACTGCTTTTATTAGTGCTTTTTATTTTATTTTGTTTTATTTTATTTATTTTTGGTCTGAGTCTTTCAGTAGTGACTTTACAGCTCAGAAGTTTGGATTTCAGAAAACAGTCTTATGTTAGATCATGATTTAATTCTGTGTGGTCAAGGTTTTAGCCAGGTTTGATTCTGTGACATTAAACGGCTGTGCTATCTTCAGTTACCTTTCCTTTATTGCTTAATGTGTGTTAACTTGAACACAGAATGAGTTTCAGAATAATGAATGTGTAGCTATGAAATGATAGATTGGTAGGTAATAGTTTGCATATGAGTTGGAGACTGTAAATGATTTAAATGGTTTTAAATGGAAGGAAGTGTTTGGTTGACATGGAAATTTAAGCAGGTGTTCTGATAAGCCAGTTTCAACTAAGCTCTTTGTGGGTGTTTAATTTTGGCCACATGACCGATGTAGAGTAATGGAAGTGCCAGATGAAGGATTTGAATGTTAAACTTTTAGGGTGCTGTCCTTGTAGGTCACACACCATGCACTGTGACAGTTCCCTTAAGTGCCTTTCTTGCCTCACCCTGCTGTGTCTTTCTTTATCTTACTAATATTTGGACCCTGGTGAGGTGGTTATTTTCTTTAGCTTGGAAATAAAGCTTTTGAATTGCTTAGGTTCCTATAAGTCAACAAATCATTTTAATCTCTTATTGTAAGAAGATAGTTTGTATTGTAACATAGTTTTCCTCAACAACACTGTCATTTTGCAGCTGGCTGTAGAGTTTCACAGTGGGCATTCTTGGTCAGGCAAAGCCTTTAGGCAGTGGTGCAGTCAGACTGGCTTGTGCTTAGAAACTGGAGAGTGTGTGCCTGTTTGTTTTTGTTTAATGAGAAATAGCTCCTCTCCGTGCAGGAGAAGAGCTGTTACTATGAGAAACAGCTCTTTGGAACAAAAGTGTAATACTTGCCCTGTGCTGTGACTGTGAATGATGCAGGTATGTTTCACCAGATTTGAGGAGGTGTCTTTGGATACTTTCTCTTTTTTTTCTGTACATTTGCTCACACGGTTCACCTTTAAAACCTCCCACTGTCTGATGGCGAATGCATACCCTTTGTGTTTTCATCATCAGCTTCCTGCGTAGAATTTTGGCCTGGGCTTTGTCCACATCGAAGTTGCCCTTTTACATTCAGATCTGCTGTTTGGCTCTGTGCAGTCACTGGACTTGTCACCTATCACTAAAGAAGGTCACCGGCGTGCTTAGTTTCAGTGCTGTGGTCAGTGATGTGTTAAGGTTAAAGTATGCTGTATTTTATTTTTCAATTGCTGTCATTGAAATTTTGAAGTTGAAATACCGGTGTCTGAATGTTTGTGTTGAGTAACTTAGGTCTTTAAACATGGAAATAGAGGAAAAAAATAGAGTGTTTTTGAAAATGTGGTGCAGGTTCTGTTATCTGAAGGAAATAAATTTGGTCTGGAGTTAGTGACACAGAGGAGTGGTAGCTCTGTGCAGTTAGAGTGCAGCTGAATTTTCTTCTTTTCCTTTTTGTATATATTGTGCCATCTCCCATTTATTTCTCTCAACAGCATACTTTGTCTAGTGTCCGTCATACACTTTCTCCTTCTCATGGGGTAAACATAACTTCTGGATGGCTATGCTGGTTAATGCCTATAATCTCAGCACTTGGGAGGCTAAGGCAGGAGCGTCTCTAGTTTGAAGCCAGATTGGGTTTTATAGCAAGACTTTGTCTCAGGCAGTTTCTCCTTTTGTTTAGCCCCATCCCTTTATTTCTCCTCCCAGCCTCTCCTTACAGTAACTTCACCACCTTTCCCTTACATTGTCAGGCTGTAGTGCATTCATGCCTTCAGAAGACCCTGCCAGGAGGACCAAATACAATCAATCTCAGTTCGTCTGTTCCTTCCCCCTTTGTCATAATTATTAGCTAGCACAAATCTTTGTTTTCTTTAAATTAATATTTTTTGGATTTCCTCTTTCAAGATCTGAATAATCCTAAGGTCATTCTTTCTAAACTTCTCTTTCCTTTCTCTGGTTATTTTTAGGCCCAGCTGTGGTCCCTCACCAATATTATGGAGTCACTCCATGGGGCGTCTACCCTGCCAGTCTTTTCCAGCAGCAAGCTGCTGCAGCTGCAGCAGCAACAAATTCTGCTACTCAACAGAGCGCTCCACAGGCCCAGCAAGGACAGCAGCAGGTAAAGGCAACACCAGCCACTCCTGTGAGGGCAACTCATGGTGTGTGCTACTCATAGGCAATGTCCCTCTTAATCACAGTCTTATGAGTGCATGTGTGCAAGCCACTCATAGGTGATGCTGATCCTGCTCATAGAACACTGAGTGCCTGTGTATGTTTATGGTGTGTGTGAGTGTGTGTGTGTGTGTGTGTGTGTGTGTGACTTACAAGTGATGATACTCTTCATTTTCTTTCTTGAGACAAGGTTTCTCTGTAGTTTTGGAGACTCTCCTGGAACTAACTCTTGTAGACCAGGCTGTCCTCGAACTCCCAGAAATCCACCTGCCTCTGCCTCCCGAGTGCTGGAATTAAAGGTGTGCGCCACCACAGCCAGACCTGGTACTCTTCATCTTAAAATGCTGTGTGCCTATGTGTGCACACCTGCATACTTGCTCCAGTGCTTATTTAGCTCTTCATATTGTTGTTGTTGGGGGGTTATGTAGGCCAGAGGTTATCTTCTAGTGTTAGGAGCCATCCATCTTTTTTTGTTGAGACAAGCATCTGCCATCCAGACTTGGTACTTAACCAATTAAAGTTGGACTGTCCAGCCATTGATCACAGGGATCTTCCTGTCTCTCGTTCTCTGTCATTGGTACTCTCTGTTGATGATTGTGTTCTAGTTCACATGCTCAGACAGCAAACACTTTAGTGACTATTCATTCAAAAACGCCTCCTCTCTCTCCCATTCTTCTCCTTTTCTTTATCAAAATATAGTTCCATTTATATCCCTGGTTGTCCTAGAACTCTGTGTCGACCAGGCTGTTCCTGAACTCAGAGATCTGTCTGCCTTTGCTTCCTGTGTGCTGTGATTAAAGGCATACGCCACAATGCTCTGCCATCATGTCAGTTGTGCTTTTAAATTTAATTAAGAAAATGATAGTAATTTTGTTTTCTCTTTTGGTACTGTGTGCCCGCTGCTTTTTCTTTTCTTTTCTTTTTTTTTTTTTTGAAGTCAATGTCTCTCTCTGAAGCCCAAGATGGCCCTGAACTCATTTTGTAGCCCAGGCTGACATTGAACTTGGAATGATTACCTACTCAGTCTTACCTTACTGACTGCTGGGATTTTTAGGTGTATGCTGTAAGAATTGCTTAGAGTGGCTGGAGAGATGGCATAGTAGTTAAGTGCACTGGCTGCTTTTGCAGAGGACCCAGATTCAATTCCCATCACACACATGACATCTGACAACTATCTGTAACTCCAAGTTCTGACACCCTCATACAAGCATACATGCAGACAAAACACCAATGTACATAAAAATTATTATTATTTTTAAAAGTAAGAGTTGCTAGAGGGATATATAGTTAGCTATCTACCTAGCTGGTGCACAGTGACTATATATGTGTGACTGTGAGGTCAGAAAAGTGCATCAGATTCCCTGGAACTAGAGTTGGGACGTGGTGGTTGTGAGCCTACCATGTAGATGTTAGGAACAGAACTTCTGCAAGAGCGATATCATCTCATTGCTGAGCCATCCTTCCAGCCCTTCTCTTAATTTTTAGTTAATGGCTATTACTTTTTTTTTTTTTACTACATATCTGACTTTAATAAGTTGTAAGGTGTATTAGTTGCTTTTCTATTGCTGTGTTATCATTTAAAAAGCTGACTCTTCTAGGGCACAGAGCATGTCCTCTATAAACTTCCTGTGAGACAGCATTTCTGCCTCATGTTCCTAGGTTCTTCGTGGAGGGGCTAGCCAGCGTCCTTTAACCCCAAATCAGAACCAGCAGGGACAACAAACAGATCCCCTTGTAGCAGCTGCAGCAGTGAATTCTGCTCTTGCCTTTGGACAAGGTCTGGCTGCAGGTATGCCAGGTAAGGTTGTACTGATGTTTCTGATACTTTGCTGGGTCAAAAAAGTGTATGTGTGTTTTCAAGGAGAATGGGTATTGCTTTTGACTTGTCTGGACCTGTTATGTTTGGGGACTGGCAGGGATGATACATACTTGCCCTCACTTAGACCTGTGGGTCACTGACGAGAGCTTTGTTCTGAGCCAGTCATTGTTCATCCTTCCATGTGAGAGATCTGTGAGTGTCTGCAGATTAGAATGTGAGCTTTGCTTTGTTAGCTGCCTCTTCAAGAGATATTCTTCAGTTTTGGTTTAAATACTGCTTGTGTATTCAACCATATAAGCCTATGGGGACGATTCTTTTCCAAACAGCCACAGCAGCTTAGAGTTATTATAGATCTTAGTAATTGGAATATGGAGATCAGCAGCCTCGGTGTCAGTATTCAGGCACTTTCCCGCTCTTGTTAGGCTGGGAGCTTGTGACGTCAAGCACTGCAGCACCAATACTGCTGAGACAGGCTGGTAACCTAGACAGCTGTGGCTGGTGGACAGAGAGCATTTACAGGAGGCTAGAAATAGAGTGCTGTGAGATTTCGTCATGTCACTAAGAATGGCTGTGTGGTTCAATGTTTATAAATGTATACTTCAGGAATTTCCACCTAATACTTTGCATGGTGGTTAAGACATTGGCAGCAGAGACTGAAACTGTCTGTATTTGTGTTCCGTTCTCTATCCCCAGGTTATCCAGTCTTGGCTCCTGCTGCTTACTATGACCAAACTGGTGCCCTCGTGGTGAATGCAGGAGCAAGAAATGGCCTCGGAGCTCCAGTTCGACTTGTTGCTCCGGCTCCTGTCATCATTAGCTCCTCAGCTGCACAAGCAGGTGAGCTTTGTTTCGGAGAGGGAAATAATGGGTTGGATGACTGACAACAACAGTCTTTCAGATAGGGTGTAATGTGCTTCATTTTGAAAATCTCAGCATAGGTTTTCTTACCCTGTAATATTTCAAAGAGAATTAGAACCTGCAAGGCAGTCTGGTAGATTCTGATTCTGTTGGTGGTTCTGTGGCACCTGGTTAGATATGGGGTAATGCACAGGGATTGGCAATTCGGGTAATAGACAGGCGTGTTCTTTTCCCCCCAAGGTCTGTGTCTGCCTTGAAAAGATAATGTAGCATTCAAAGATTCGTTTTTCTTAATCCCTTTTAAAAACAGATATAGCTCAGTCTGTGTATATGACTAGTGCCTTTCTTAGCCTAATGGTTGGCTTTCTTTCTCAAAGCTGTTGCAGCGGCTGCAGCTTCAGCAAATGGAGCAGCCGGTGGTCTTGCTGGAACCACAAATGGACCATTTCGACCTTTAGGCACCCAGCAGCCCCAGCCCCAGCCTCAGCAGCCTAGCAACAACCTGGCTTCCAGCTCCTTCTATGGCAACAACTCTATGAACAGCAACTCCCAGAGCAGCTCCCTCTTCTCTCAGGGCTCTGCCCAGCCTGCCAACACGTCCTTGGGATTCGGAAGCAGCAGTTCTCTTGGTGCCACCCTGGGATCGGCCCTTGGAGGGTTTGGAACAGCAGGTAGAATTTAGACTAAGAAGCTGTTAAAATAAATTTGAATGAGTTTTGTAATCTTTCTGGAACCCTGACAGTGCATGACACCCTGCTCAGATACCACAGGTAGTCTGGATCAGGGCCCTGGGAGTCCAGCTAGCCCACTTGACCTTTGACATATTGGACTATAGACATTAAGTTATGCAACTGGAACCTCTTCTAGTTCCATGCTCCTGTTGCTATTTACTTGTGCTCACTCTGTCAGTATGTTTCAGGCTTTGAAAACTAAAGAGTGGTTCTTCTAGGCTTTAGGAAGCATGTGGAGGGAACTTGGACAGTGTGGATGTTAGACTGAAGGAGAAGGAATCACTGAAGGTCACAGGGCTGGATGCTCCACATTCAGAATTGTGCCCAGAGCTTGGCTTGGCTACCTTAAACCATTAGGGAGTTTCATCCCATGTTTTAAACAATGTTAAGGGTTATGCTGTGGAACATTGGGAGGAAGGATGCTAGACCAAAACATTCTATTTCGGTGCGAGAAAAGTACAAGAATGTAGACTGATGGACAGTGGGATACTTGAAGTGGTTATCAGCAGTGTGGTTTCAGAAGAGAAGGGCATGTCTGAGAGAAGGTGTACTAATTGGACCTGTAGTCTTAGCCGCAGCTCCTGATGGAGCTCACCAAGATGACAGGCCTGCATAAGAAAGTCTTGTGTGGTAGGGCAGTGCCCTGCTTGCACATCTTTTTTCCATATTCCATTTTTCTGCCAGAACCTTTCAGCTGATGAAAGGCATTCCTTCTAGTTCATTTCCTTTCACTTTTCCCATAGCTCATGTGGCCGTCAAAGCTTTTTAACCTGCCCCCATCCCACAATATCTGTGACACTAAAAAAAGGTAAATTTGGCATATTTGTGTAACGGCTTGAATAATAGCTCTGTTAGCCCAAGCCATGTCCTCTTTATTTATTACCCTAGAACTGCTACATTAACAGTTAGGCTGTCTCTGCTGACACATTTGCGGTGGTAAGGAGTCTGGATCAAAGTGTTAGGAACAGGCCACTGGGCTTGTTCTTCAAAGAACAGGCCTGTTCTTATCTGCATTGTTTTAATTCCATTTTAGTTGCAAACTCCAACACTGGCAGTGGCTCCCGCCGTGACTCCCTGACTGGCAGCAGTGACCTTTATAAGAGGACATCGAGCAGCTTGACCCCCATTGGACACAGTTTTTATAACGGCCTTAGCTTTTCCTCCTCTCCTGGACCCGTGGGCATGCCTCTCCCTAGTCAGGGACCAGGACATTCACAGACACCACCTCCTTCCCTCTCTTCACATGGATCCTCTTCAAGCTTAAACCTGGGTAAGAACCATTACTCTAACACCACCTTGAACGCTAGAAATTTCTTGCCACCAATGACATTACAAGTACTTTCTTTGCATAAGCAAAGGATACAAGTACTTTGTGCTCCCTTCATCCTAGAAGTGTCCTGGTGTTCTGTGCCTTTGGTAAATATTTCAAGTTGCTCAGGTTGTACCTGTAGCTTCACAGCAGTTGGGGATTGCCTAGCATCTGGATACACCGTGTGTATTCTCTCCAGCTTCAGTGTGAACATTTTTCTCTTGGGCAAACACAGTAAACTTCATCAAAGCGAGCAGAAGGACACAGAGAAAAAAGCATAGTCTCTAGTATAGCACCCATATTGACACCACACTGAACATGTTGCTTACTTTCTTTGTAGATTCTTCCCTCCCCTTTGTGTAAAAGTTAGTAGCTTGTTTTTTCACATAAAGCATTTCATTGATTTTTTTTTGCCAAATTTTTAAGTATTTATAAATGTGCTCCAAGCCTACCATCTCTTAATACCTGGATGTATATATTTTCTCCTGTTATATATTAAGATTCTTTTATGTGTGGGATTATTAGAAGAGACATTGGGTTCCCAACATCAGGCTTTGAGAATAATGGGAAAATTATAGTAGCAGCAGGTAGGAGTGCAGATTTCTTATCCAGAAACAGGGCATACCCCTCTTTCGTTTCTCAGGTATGGCTTTCGAGGTACTAATTTACTTCCCAGATGGGGGAAGTTGAAAGAGAGAAGTGGAGAATACATTTTATGAGCAAATGGCAAGGTGAGAGGGTGTCCTGGACAAATCATAAAGGATATGCTTACTAGAAGATTCTACCTTTGCCTAGCATGTTTAAATGTGGTTTCAGGGACTTGGCAGTGAGGACTGAGTTAAAGTGAATAGCATGATTTCATTTGAAGAGACATTCATACAAAACAAGAAAAGTTCTGATAACATCTGTAGTAAATAGTTATTCTTATCAAAGAATGGTGTCTTTGAGTTTGAAGGCACGTTTTTCAGTGTGTGTGTGTACACATGCGCATGCACACCTGAATATGTGTCAGAATGTGCTGTGTTCTTGCTGGCTGTCTACAATGGACAGGACGTGTTGCACAGCACTGTTTCTTAGCAACAGAAAGCCTGACTCCAAATGTAGGATGATCAGGAGGGCATAGGCTGAGAGAGGGAGGACTGAACATTGATGATTTAGGTTTTCCTGCCTCACCCCTGGGGAACACAGCAGTAGGGTAGCAGTATGTCATTCCACATGTGGGGGGCTCTCCCAAAGCTTGAGTACCTCGCCTTACTTGTCTCAGAGTTGAACAGATTTTCTTTTTTTTAAATTCTAAACCATGCATTTTCAATGCATATTCTTGTTACATATTGTGCCCAGTATGTCTTTTAAAAAAAAAAAAAGATCTATTATTTTGTTTACAGTGTTCTGTCTGCATGTGTACCTGCAGGCCAGAAGAGGGCACAAGATTTTTTTTTTTAACAGATGATTGTGAGCCACCATGTGGTTGCCGGGAATTGAACTCAGGACCTCTGGAAGAACAGTGTTCTTAATCTGAGCCATCTCTCCAGCTCCCCACCCCCCAGTGTGTCTTTTGAACCAGCGCATTAAAACTATTCTATAAAGTTTTGTTGTGTGTTGTTGGTGCTGTTGTTAGTTTTTGCCAATATTTTTAGTTTTTAGATTTTTAAAAACTGGTTGTTTTACCTGCATGGTGTTTCTGCACTCCTTATGTCTGTCATGTCCAAAGAGGCCAGAAAAGGTCAGATCCCCTGAAGTTGGAGGTAGTAACAGTTTTGCATCACTATGTGGGTGCTGGGACTCCACCCTGGGGTCTCCAGAAGAGCAGCCTGTGCTCTTGTTTGCTGAGCCGTCTCTCCTAATTGGTTGTCTTCTAATTAACTAGCTTATTTTTTTTTTTGGAAGGTGGCAGCCGCTTGTACCCTGTGGTTTATAGTTTTTCAACTTCTGAACTTAGTGCAATGACTCTGGGTGTTCATACTGAATCTGAAAATGCTACATGCAGGTGGCGTTTCCTCTTTTCAGGCTATCTGCGTTCACGGTTAGACTCAGTAGTCATTATGCATTAGACCATTCCAAGAAAGCAGTTGACTTGCCTAGTATTTATTTCTGTGTGCCTAAGAACCCTCAGCAGCCATGTGTTTCTATTTGTTTTGAGTCCATTTCATTTATTCTGTAGAATAAATTTTACTGGCTGTAAGTTGTGTGGCTGTCAGGGTAAAACTTAAAATATTTACAACCTTTCCTACCTATTTGCACTTCATCCTGATCTTAAATGCAATTAACAATGATGAATTTAATTTGCATTTTATTTTCTCTCTTTTTTAAATTGGTCTATAATGCATTATAGACCAATAGATAGTTCCTTCTTATTAGACCATTTTCCATTTTTGTGGACCTTTTGTCCTGCTACTCACATTTCATAGGTATTTGTTCCTGTTTAGGCAGTTACACATAATACAGCTATGAATATTATAATGCCAGAGTTTCCGTAGATGTGCTGTTTCTCTAGGAGTAGATTGTGTGTGAGCTTTATGATCAGCCTTTTCTTTCTGCTTAGATATGATCTTACTAGGTAGCTCTGGCTGACCTGGAACTCACAGATCTGCCTGCCTCTGCCTCTCAGGTGCTGGGTCACATTCAACTTTCTCCTGAATTCAACTAGTCTCCTACAGACTAACTGTAGGTTGGTGTGATTGATCGTTTTGCTTCTCACCAGAAGTTTACAAGGATTCCAATGTCTCTACTTCCTCAATTACATTTTTGGTCTGATTTGATATAGCTCTTTTCATGGGCATCGAATAGTATTTCATGGTAGTTATATTTTTCATTTTGCCACTGACCTGTTATCCTAGATCATTTTTGGGAGGAGGTTAAGACAAAGTTTTACAGTAGTCCAAGCTCTCCTCGGGTTTGTAATCCTCCTGCTTCAGCCTCCCAAGTACTTGTTTCATATTTTCTGGCTTTAGAGCATTGTTTTATATGCTTTAACTATTTTTAAAATCTCCTCATGTGTTTTATTCATTTAAACCTTTAGCTTATGGGACTGGAGAGGTGGCTTTTCGTTTGGTAGGGCTGATTGCTCTTCCAGAGGACCTGGGTTCAATTCCTAGCACTCACATGGCAGCTTACAACTGTCTGTGGCTCCAGTTCCAGGGGATCTGGCACCTTCACAGATGTACACTCAAACAAACACCAATGTGCATTTAAAAAAAAAAAGTAGAAAACCTTTGGCTTACTTGAGTTATAAGAAGTCTTTATGTTCTCATCTTTTACTTCTCCCATTTTAAAAATAGTGTCTTTAAAGTGTGTCAGATTTTAATTTTGATAATGTTTACTTGAATGAATTTTTGGTTATTCTAGAAATACTTTCCAAACTCCTGGTCTTGAATACAGTTTTCTATCATCCAAAAGTTTTATTGATTTTTTTTTAAGATTCATTTTTATAATTTTATATTATGCGTAGGTGCATGTGAGCGCAGGCACCCTCAGAGTCCACAGTCACTGGATCAGTGGAGTAGTACTTTGGGAGAGTAGCAAGTACTTTATCCTCACATTTTATTGTTTTCACTCCTAATTTAATGTGTTCATTTTGAGTTAATGCTGTCATCTTGTGGGGTAAGGGTTCATTGATCTTGGCTGTGAGTGTCTAGTTGTTCCAGTACCTTTTTATAATTTAATTTAATTTTTCATTTCATGTACATTGATGTTTGTGTCTTTCTTTGTAAGGGAGGCAGAGGCTCTGGAACAGACAGTTGTGAGCTGCCATGTGGTTACTGGGAATTGTACCCTGGTTCTCTGGAAGAGTAATCAGTGCTCTTAACCACTGAGCCATTTCCTTAGCCCATCCAGTACTGTTTTTTCGTGGTCCCCCCTCCCCTGACCCCGCCAAAGTGTGTAGTTTGCAGTGTGTGGGTTAGATGCCGCTCTGAATGGAATTGTGTTCTAATTTAGGGTGGTTTTGTTATCAAAATACAACTGAGGTTTGTATGCTGGTTTAACTAGAACACTCTTTTTGTTTATTCTAATGATTTTAGGTACAGTTCCAAGGTTTTTATATAATAGGACAGAGAAGAACATGTATTTTGTGTGTATTCCTGGTCTTGGGGATTGTGTTTGTTTATTTGCCCTAAAGTTTGGTGACAGTTGGTTATTGTAATGGACATTTTATGAGGCTGGCTTTCAGAGACCCACCTGCCTCTGCTTCCTGAGCCCGGGATTAAAGGTTTGTGCCAACACTGCCCTGCAGGTTTTGTGTTTCTAAAAATCAGGTTTTTGTAATGGTAATTGGGTTTTCTAGAAGATGTGTCTCTTCCATGTACATTCTCAGAGTTGTCATAAATTATAATTAGGACTGATGCAATGTCTCAGCTGGTGCAGCTCCTGCCATGCAAGCCTGGTGACCCATGTTAGATGTTTAGTACCCTCATAAAGGTGAAAAAAGATAACGCCACAAAAGAAGAATAGAAGCAGGAACTGCTCTTTGGTCCCTTGTTACCTGTGAGACCCATTGCCTGGACACAGTTTAATGTAGTTTTCTTTAATTTAGGACTACCAAGATGTTTTAAGGTAGAGATTCTTTTTTTTTTTTTAATACATCTTCACGAACACTGCTGCCTTTATTAAATATTGGAGGTGAGGATGTAGCCCACTGGTTGAGTTCTTGCCTAGCATTAATTTGCAAGGTTCAGTCCTCAGCATAGAGGGGAATGTATGGTGTGGGTTGTATGTGTCATTGGGTAGTGCTTGGGTGAGCCCGTGGTGACAGAAGACAAAACCTTTAAAAATCTAAACACTTAATTCTCTAGAATGTTGCTTTGAGACACTGTCAGAATACTATTGAAAACGGGAAAGTCAGAGTTAGCTTTTAAGAGTTCTGTTAATTGTCCTTTTCAAGAATGGCTTTCAGATGCAAGCACCACTTACAGTGATTTCTACACAGGTACCTAGGAGTGGGATAACTACTAGGGCTTGGACACGTGGGTTTTGTTTTGTTTTTGACATTCCTAGTCAATAAATACTGAAATCTGTTGTTTGCTAGATGTGTTTTCAGAAAAGGACCAGAGAAGTTCAGGTTTTTTGTTTTGCTTCTGGAGCTTCAGTTTTAAGCAAAAATTAAGGTATTGCTTTTAATGTATCGACAAATACTTGGCTCGTGCAGAATATATCTTTAAATTACCAGATTGAATACCGGAGAGGATTTTTCTCTTTCAGATATTTGTATATACTTCCTTTTTCATTAATAAAAGAGCAGGTATGTCAAAACCTGAACAAATATATAATTTAGAGGCATGTTAGCTATCATTCCCTCTAGCTTTTTGAGTAGTGTATTAGTATATTTTTGGCCACAGTAACAAAGTCTAGCTAATGTTTCTTCAACAACATTGCATGTATTAGTGTATGTAACTGGAAATTGAGAGGGCATTGCTGAGGATTATTTGTTGCATTATTTATTTGACTTTTTTTTTTTAACAAGGACCTGGCTTTCTTTCAGCATACCGTCTGCCTTTGTCAGTGACCTGCTGACAGAGTACCTGACATTGCTTTGACAGTTGTATGCGTTTGTGCTGCTCCTTCCTAGGCCTGCTTATTGTGACCACCACATCTGCAATACCTGCTGTTCCACTGACCTTGTGACCATGTCTTTATCCTTCTCTTCCAAACCAGAGAAGAATGGTTTCTGACTGCAATAGAGAAAAATCATTAGGTTATTTTTTTTAATTTAATAAATCCATTTGCATTCAGAAGTGCTGTGGAATGTGAGGACCGTAGCTGCTTCCTGAAGAATGAGTAAAGTTGATATAACCGAGTCTGAAAACAAGTCACACACAACTGTGACAGCTGTGACTTTAGGGCCAAGGGCCTTGCGTTCCATTCTGGCTATTAGAACTATATGTATTGCATTTTTGGATGACAGCTTTTTCTCTCAGACTTCAGTTTCATATTAGGTAAATATATCATTGAGAATCATGGGAAGCATCCACAGAAGAACTAAGTATAGACAGACACTCAGGAGCTGTGTCCATAGCAGAGCTTGAGCAGCAGTAGTAGTTATTTTAGGTGTCATTGTTTTGACTGAGACCTAGACTTTTGAAGCTGGGTCCTGGAGCAAGTCAGGTCTCCTCTGTAGTTGCCATTAAATGCCATAACAAGTACTGTTGAGAGCATATGGAGATAGCAATAAGTAGTTTTGGTCAGGGGCATTACTCATGGGTTTGGGGTTGCTGCTCATCACCGTCTTTGTGGTTGATGTGGTGTTTCTCAATACTTTTGTTTACACTGATTGGAGGAAACCTGGTGCTGGGAGGCACCTCAGTGGTAGAGCTTTGGCTAGCATGCACAAGACCCTGATGGCAGCCTACTGAGTGGCAGGAAAATAAAAATAAAAATTAAGACATATGGGGGCTGGAGAGATGGCTCAGCGGTTAGGAGCATCACCTGCTCTTCCAAAGGTCCTGAGTTCAATTCCCAGCAACCACATGGTGACTCACAACCCTCTGTAATGGGGTCTGGTGTCCTCTTCTGGCCTGCAGGCATACACAGAGACAGAATATTGTATACATAATAAATAAATAAATATTTAAAAAAATTAAGACATATGAACCAAGCTGAGTTTCGTGGTTCACACCTTTAATTCTAGCACTTGGGTGGCAGAGGCAGGTGGCTCCCTGAAACTGAGGAAAGCTGGGGTTACAGGGAGAAGCCCTACCTTTGCAAAACCACAACAAAAACCATGTGAACTGAAAGAATGATTGAAAAGCAAGTGTTCCTGTTAATTTCTTTGCTACTTTGTGCATGTGTGCATGTTGTCAGTTGGAGCCCAGTGCTCTCCCCGTGCGTAGACTCTACCCCTGATCCACACACCAGCAGTGCTTTACTTTTTGTTAAGCCCTTTGATCTTCATTCTGTCTTACCTGTGTAGGGACTCATATTATACCATATTCGCCAGTCAGAGCAGCATGCAAGTGGCATGAAGAATCTTTATTGTTGCATAGTGTCAGACATTGTCCTGTGGAAGTTGTTAACAGCTGCCCACTGATGAGGACCTTGAAAACCAGCCCTCTGCCTTAGATACAAGCTTTCCAAATGATTCCTCAAAAAACAGCTTCCCAGAGTTTCCTGTACATAAATTCCCTCTCCTTACAGCAAAAGCAAGTGCTCTACCTCTGAACTATATTCCCACTTGTATTTGTGCTGATCTTAAAGGGGGATACTTGAACTGGGAATGAAAGTTATTTAGGAATGGAGTGAGTCACTGTAGTGCTGAGTGTACAAGCTCAGTAGCCTCAGTGTGCTTTGCATTTTCTGTGTTCTTACTGCGGGTGCTGTGCCCCATTTCATTTATTAAGGACATACAATGTATTGCTCCATTCTTTTTACTTGATTTCATTTTCTCCTTTTTAGGTAGTGCTGGGAATTGAACCCAGGGCCTCACATATGCTAGCAAGTGCTCCATCTTTGAGCTGTATCCCCAGCACTACAGCACCACAGCACCAATTTTGCTATCAGTGGTTAAAGCAAAACAACCACCAAACAAACAAAAACCCCAAATAAATACTTCTTTCTCAATCTTTATGCAAATGTTTTCTTCCAGATTGGTAAGTGGGCCTTATGAAAGTCACAGTAGTAGTAGAATTGTCTGATTGTAACACAGTGGCATGGAAGAAGTGAGGTCATGCAGGCTTTTTGAGGGGGGCAGGAGGGGGTACTTTTTCCTTTCAATTGATGTTCCCCTAAACATGGACTCAAGATTTTCTGTTCTGTAACCAACAGGAGGACTCACAAATGGCAGTGGAAGATACATCTCTGCTGCTCCTGGTGCCGAAGCCAAGTACCGTAGTGCAAGCAGTGCCTCCAGCCTCTTCAGCCCCAGCAGCACTCTGTTTTCTTCCTCACGGCTGAGATATGGGATGTCTGATGTCATGCCCTCTGGCAGGAGCAGACTTTTGGAAGATTTTCGAAATAACCGGTACCCTAATTTACAACTACGGGAGATTGCTGGCCATATAATGGAATTTTCCCAAGACCAGCATGGGTCTAGGTAAGGACCTGGCTTTGGTAACACCATAATTGAGATTTGTACCTTAAATTCCCTGCCTCAGATAGGTATATATCTCATCATAAAAACATAGTGCCTTTTGTACACCTTTGCTGTGCCTCCTAGTGTCTTATTTCAGAGGGATATGGGCACGAGGCAGCCTTCAAATATTTCAAAAGAGCTTTTATTTTTCTGGACGATGGACTTTGAACAAACTCTTTACATTTATGAGCACGTAGCCTGTGTTTCTAGAATCTCATAAAGTACTGTTGTTTGCCACTGAGCATGGTGGTACATACCTACAATTCTAGTACCCAAGAGGCAGACTCAGGATTGCCACAAGTTCTGCTATCTTGGTCTACACTAAGATCCTGTGTTTTTTTTTTTTAAGGTTTATTTATTATGCATACAACATTTTACCTCCATATATGTCCGCACACCAGAGGAGGGGGCCAGATCTCATTACAGAAAGTTGAGAGCCACCATGTGGTTGCTGGGAATTGAACTCAGGTCCTCTGAAAGAGCAGCCAGTGCTTTTAGCCAGTGAGCCATCTCTTCAGCTCAAGACACCACCACCAAAAATTGTACCCATCTCTATGTTTGAAGAAACTGTCTTCCAAGGAAGCCCTGTGCATGCCCTGCAGTAGTCAGTACTGTAACATCTGTTCTGGGGGAGACAGACTCTGTCACATGACAATGTAGATCCCAGGTTCTTAGGGGCACTTGCTCTCATCCCTGTTCTAGAAGGGAGAGCTCCAGGAAATCTTTGCTCTAGGCGTTCCCTAGAGGTACACATGGGACTTAGGGACCCAGCAAAATGAGATGATATCACTTCTCACCCTTCTCATATCTGTTGTGGTTTTCTTTCTCTCTGTGTTCAGGGAAATTCCTAATGGTCTCCCTGCTCTGTAGCTTTTGCTAGCTACCTCTCCTGACGAGTGGAGACCAGGTCCAGAGCCAGCAAGGTTTTCCTATGTAGTCACCTGAGTGAGTTGACTGAGTAACACTATTTCAGACACTAAAGAATGCCTCTCTTGGCAGATAGAAGGTATAGAATAGAGTGAGGACCATGAGCCTTAAGTATCCAATGAGGGACTGTTTTCTAAAGATCAAAGTTAAGCAGAGCTGGTGCTTTCTTATATATGCCATTCTATAGTGCAACACACTAGAACAGGAATACACTTTTGAAAGTTGGACCATGTTAGGGGAATTCCCTTTTTCAGAAATCTTTTCTCTGAGAGCTTGAGATTGATTTAAATAGCCCGGCAGCCCGGCATGATGATGCACCTCTTTAATCTCAGCATTCAGGAGGCAGAGGCAGGAGGATCTCTCTGTTTTCTAGGCCAGCCAAGTCTTCATAGTGAAACCCTATCTAAATAAACAAAACTCACTGTCTAACAAGTGATGCCCTTCACACCTTTGCAAATCATATCTGTGTGTGGTTTGATTGCCCCTTCACTCTGTTCTTCAGATTCATTCAGCTGAAACTAGAGCGTGCCACAGCAGCTGAGCGCCAGCTGGTCTTCAATGAAATCCTCCAGGCCGCGTACCAACTTATGGTGGATGTGTTTGGAAATTACGTCATTCAGAAGTTCTTTGAAGTATGTCATTGTTCTTTCTGCCATTTCACTTTGAGAATCTCCAGAGCATTTGATTTTTGTTGACTTTTTGAAGCACAGCTGTTCATTTCAGCCTTTAAAATGAAGTGATAGGGTCTTTTTCGTTTTTCTCCAGTTCCTTATCAATGTTAAATGCTCACCCAGATAGTGCTCTGGAGGTATGGTTTAATAGTTGTGTCCACGTGGGGCCCAGTCTGGGCTTGAACTCACAGAGATCCACCTGCCTCGGTTCCTGTCTTCCAAGTGCTGGGGTTAATGGCACGCACCACCATGCTTGGCCTAAAGAGATTGGTTTTTGTTTTTTGTTTGCTTTTTTTTTTTTTTAAATCATGTTTATCTACGGGGGGAAGAGTGCCGAAGGAGGCCTGAGACAATGGATCCTTTGAAACTGGAGTCAGTCCGTTGTAAACTGCTTGATGGGTGCTGGGAATCAAACTTGGGACCTCTGAAACACAGAGTGATGCTTGCTCTGACTGCTGAGCAGTACCTCTCCCGCCTCCAGCATGGTGGCTCAGAGGCTTTAGCAGAATTAACAGTAAGACATGGTGGGAGTGAGGACTTGGCTTTGTACACCAGGCTCAGTGATTCCATTGCGGCCTGGTGTTGTGTCTCTGGGGAGCTTCTTTTGGCCTTAGCTCCTTCTTTTGCCCACTAACGTGGGTCATGGAAGTACATTAGTGATGAAGAATGTCTGCTTTCTCTAATAACTTAACATTTCAAAGACTTGGGATTTATTTTTATTTTCTATTTTTATGTTGTTAATATTGTTGTCATTTATTATTTATATTTATTAACAATGTTTACCATTGCCAGCAGCTTCAAGCTGCTGGATGTCCCAATAAATTGAGAGAAAGAACCAGGTGTGGGGAGAGTGGAATTCTAAGATTATCTGCCAACAAATCTACAAATTTCTTCTGGCTCTTATTTGTGAAATGGTTTTAGAGTTGCTTTCTCAGACTTTACCTGCCCACTTTCCTCACAGACACTTAGTTCTCCAGCTTGTGCCTCTTGATTCTGGACTGTCTCTTTTGTCACCGATATTAAAGTGCTGTAGCATGTGCACTGTGACCCTGTGATTGGCAACAAGCCAAAGAGCCTCACCATACAGTCCCATGAAGATTCTAGTCTCACAAGAGCAAAGAGGATGCAAACCAGCCCTTAGGAGAACACTGTATAGTGTAACCTTTTGGATTTCTTAGCTTCTACTTTCAAAGGCTTCCTGTTTAATAGCAATAGTCCTGGAAAGACACCAATTCATAAGAATGTTGTGTGTGCTTGGCTTGCACTTGGCAGAGTAACTTGGGTGACAGGGTCTGCCAGCCTGACCTTCCCATGCCCATGGGCTGCCCTATACAGCACAAGTCATCACATCGTTTCTAGGCATGAAGTCAGTCCCATCTCTGCTGCTGGTTTTGAAATAACGGGATATGGCTCCTCCTTCCATTTAGAAATTAATACCTAATTCTTTAGGGCATTAAATATGTTTTTGCAAGATGACCAAGACATGGCTGAGCATTAAAGAAAGTTCCACAGGTCAAAGCTGAGAACTACTGGCTTTAGGGAACAATGGCTCTTTAAAAGGCGTCGTTGACCCTAGGAAACAGGGCAGCAAGAAGTCGAGGCTGGACACAACACAGGTTATGGAAAACTTTTATTTTCTCTGGCCTTTCTCCTTTATTTATATAATGGTGTCTCTCACATTATGTCTAGTTTGGCAGCCATGAACAGAAGCTGGCTTTGGCTGAGCGCATTAGAGGCCACGTCTTGTCATTGGCACTGCAGATGTATGGCTGCCGAGTTATCCAGAAAGCTTTGGAATTTATTCCCTCAGACCAGCAGGTAATTGTAAGTTTCCTTTTCAGTTTTCTCTCGGTGTTTCTCTGTGCTGCGTGCAGTGCACTGTAGAGAATGTCAGTGTGGAGTCTCTTTGCTAGGTTATGTGGGTGCTTGTGACTTTCCATCTGCAGAGCAAGCAGGATTTGCCCAGTTTACAAGTTTCTAGTGGTACTGGTGTTTTGTGTGAAAGCATTACAGCATCATCTCTTTGACCAGTGAGTAACCTGAGTAGCTGCAGTTTTACAAGGAGGTTGTAAACGCTTAGAATGCTGCTTATCATTCTCCTCAAGTGGCACCAAACTTTCTAAGAAACCTGAAGTTTGGTTCAGCTCACTTGCAATCTCCTTCGCTATCCCTCTTGTTCAGTGATCACATGCTCAGGCCCGCTGTGTCAGTGGGTGACATGGCGATGACAAAGGCCTAGCTGGTCCCTGCTGCTGACCCACAGTGTGGACAGGACAGTGGACGATGGTGCTGCCCATGGAGGAGGCCCTCACCCAACCCATGCAGAATCAAGGCTGGGGATAGTTAGACAGGAGAAAGGGAACAGAGGCCCAAACAGCTAGCTGCTGTGAGTGGGGATTGGTAGGGGAGTCATCCAAGAGGCCCACGGGTAGGGAAAGCACACTACAACTGCTTGTACCAGGTGATGCCAAGGCCTCTGGCCTGTACCCCTCAGCCTCTGTGCTCTGAGTTCCCTCAGCCTTCTCCGTGGAGGGGTTGCTGTTGTCTGGCAATGATGACCCACTTGCCCTCACTGAGGACAAAGTTCGATAATGAGAATCTTTATTATGGACTCGTTCTGAGCCAGGCAGAATCCCACCAGCTCTGATTCAAATCCATTGAACTACCAGCCAGTGGTGCAGATGGTGGCAATTGAAGGCTGGTGGAGCCCAGGGCACTTGGGGTGCGTCTTATAGCTAGGCTCTTGAAGGTACTGTGAAGTTGGTGAGGTTGGAGACATAGCTCTGTGCCTGACTTGCAGCATTGAAAAGGAAGCACTGTAGCTGAGCGTAGAATTACATAGTGATCCCAACACTTTGTGAAATCGAACCCCAAGTTTGAAGCCAATCATAGAAGGCTAGATAGCAAGACCCTGCCCCCAGTCTCTAAGAAAGGAGCTGTTTGTGTGGACAGAAGGATCTGAGGCTAATTTTCATTGTTATCTATTATTCACTGAGATGTTCTAAATTTTAATGACCTCAGATTATTGTGTTGGGTTTTTTGTTGTTGTTGTTGTTGCTGTTTTCCCCCATGTGGAAGTTTGTTTCTCTTGGATCATGATGGCTACTTACTAAAAGAAAACAGCTGCTCTCATGCTTTCTATACTTCTCTCCTTCTCTTCCTCACTAGCAAGTTGTCTTTTTCCCGGAGCTATTGCTCTTCCTGCCCTCTCTGTCCTTCTCCCCAACTCTTCCTCTGTTACTTTGTGGCAACAATGGGGGTTGAAACCAGGGTTTTTTACAGGTTGGGTGTGTGTCCTGCCACTGGCCTTGGAAGTTCCCTGCCTAAGGTGGCTTCCTGAGCAACTGAGTCATAGGTTTGTGCAACCAGGAGAGAGCTCTTTCTTAAATTTGTCCTTTCTCTGGCCCAGTTCCTCTGTGGTGCCTTGTTCTGAGTTTGTACTATTCGGCTGTGGACTGTATACTTTGTTTTAGGAGATGAATTTTATCATTTCTATGTCTCCCAGGCAGATGTTCCTTCTCTCCTGCTATGTTAGTAAGTGTTCTTTTGTGATCATGAATGTCCTCTGTTAGCTGACATTTCAGTTACTCTGGAGTCAGTGCCTCTGGGATTCACTCACACTGTTCATGAACGGTGCCTAGGTAAAGTTGCCTGTGGCCTTCTAGCACAGATACAGAGGTGCACAGAGAAGTTAAAGCCCAGATGAAATCAGTAGGAAAAGAGGAGCCAACGCCTGCCCAGCCTGGTTCAGCATTTCACTTTAAATGTTCTGAGGCTGTGAGTCTCAGGGAAAGGTTCCAGTAAAAATCTCATCTGGTTCCAGTACATACCCTGACACACACTGCTTTTGCACTTTGTCTAGTTACAGTATGTATTTGCTGTTTGGACACAATTAATGAACTGGGAAAAATCATTCCTGCCAACTTTAATCAATGCACCTTGGTGAAAAAATCCCAGACACTGGTAGTCACAGAGCGACTGCTCTGAAATTGTATTCTGTGGCCCTTTGTCTTTCCCTCTGTCCTTTGATGCTACTAAAGGAAGCTGGGGTGGGCACTCTTGGAGACATGTGCTCCCCATGCCTAGGCTAACCTTGAACCTCTTGGTTCTCCAACAGTCATCCCTAGGAATTCACCACCGCTGCCACTTCCTCTGTCTCTGTAGATTTAGTTTTGGTGTTTTAAGATGGGCTTTTTTTACTCTATAGACTAGGCAGGCCTAGAACTCAGTGTATATCTCAGGCTGGCCTAAAATTTGAGGCCATCCTCCTGCTTCAGCCTCTTAAGTGGTATAATTACAGGGTCGAACCATCATTGACTTTTCTATAGTTTTAATTATATGACTTGGCCTTTAATTATATGACTTGGCCTGTAACTTCTTTTGTTGCTGGAAGAGCCACAGGGTATTCTATAATTGACAGGTTGTTTCCCAGCAAATCCTGGCTGCGTCATTGCTGGCAATTGCTTGGGTTTGAGGCTTTACAGTCTAGGTCTTCTTGAAAGCTTTGTAATTTGTCTGCTCTGTTGATGCCTAACATGATCTGTTGGGTGGAACTTCTTGGAGTTATTTCTCACCTGGGCAAATTCTAGATCAATCCTTCATATTCATGTGTGTGTGTGTGTGTGTGTGTGTGTATGAAGCTTACATGATTGTCAAAATATGACAGAGTGTGATGAATTGTATATTATCAATCTTGTGCATTTCATATAGGTGTTTTTCTATTTGAAGATTTTTATTCTCTTTGTAGTTTTTTATTCTCACATAGCCCAGGTCAGCCTTGAATTTGCTCTGTAGATAAGGCAGGCCTTGAACTCTTGGTCCTCCTGCCTCCTTCTCCCTAGTGCTTAGATCATAGGGTGTATCACTAAACACGTTTTTAAAATAGGACTCATAGATAGCATAGGATATGCATGGCATATGTTGTGTGGCAGCTTCAGTCCTGCCTTACTTTCTGAGACCTGGAGTTACAGGTGTGTTCCACTACATCTGACTGGTGTCACTGTTTTTAGAGTCTCAGCAAGCATTTTCTAAGTTTGATATCTTTTAGGTCCCACTGTTTTCTCTTGCTTGCTTTGTTGTTGCATGACTATCGTTGACGTAATTTACTTTGATTGCTATGTATCTGTGTGGTGCTTTGCTGCTTGGTAAGGTGTGGGGATTGTCTGGGTGTTGCTGGCTATGATTCTGGTGTTGCCTTTTCTCTTTGTCTCCCATAGAATGAGATGGTGCGGGAGCTAGATGGCCATGTCCTGAAGTGTGTGAAAGACCAGAATGGCAACCATGTGGTTCAGAAGTGCATCGAATGTGTACAGCCCCAGTCTTTACAGTTTATCATTGATGCATTCAAAGGTCAGGTAAGTAACTTGGGTTCATGTCACCAGCGTCCATCTCACATACTGCACTCTGTAGTCAGTTTCAGTGGTGTCAACCTGACCACGTTAACAGGTTTCTTCCCTTCACTCTCTGGGAGTCTGTCATGGGGTATATAGCTAGCAGCAGACCTGTTAAGATAAATTTAATATTTGAGGGATTATTTTTTCATGTATAGCTATTATTCCTGTCTGTCATCATCAATCTATCGTCACATAAGACCCTTACTTCCCACCCCTCCCAGCAGGGATCTTTTGTGTATCCCTGATTATTCTGAAACTAGTTCTGTAGACCTGGCCAGCCTCAGACTCATCGAAATCTGCCTGCTTTTGCCTCCTGAGGGCTGGGGTTAAAGGTGTGCGTCATCACTATCTGTCTCTTTCTTATGCTATCACTTTTCTGAGTGCTTCTAAATTAGGAATAATTGTTAGTTTCTTTGCCAAAAATACCTTCCCACCTTGGGGAAGTTAGTGGGACAGAGTGGTATTTGAATCTGGACTCTGGACTCTGTGGACTCTTTTGGGCATATGAGTCTGTTTAAGTGGAAGCATGATTTAGAATTCTTTCAGAATGGGGATTTGTTCACTTCTCACATGGTTGAGAAGACTCAGAATTTGGGGGTTGTTGGAAGTTTCTGGATTAGTAGAGCAGAGGGTAGCACATTCATTCACTGAGACGCTATATTATTGGAGGTGGGGAGGTGGTTCAGTGGTTAAGAGCCCTTATTGCTTTTGCAGGGACTTGGATTCGGTTCCCAGCACCCCCATCACCACTCATTACTATTTATTTATAACTAGTTCCAGGGGATCAGACTCCTCTTTTTTGCTTTGGTGGGGCACACACACATAATAAAATCTTTAAAAAGACATTAAGTTAAAGGGGCTGGAGAGGTGGCTCAGTGGTTAAGAGCATTGTCTGCTCTTCCAAAGGTCCTGAGTTCAGTTTCCAGCAACCACGTGGTGGCTCACAAACATCTGTAATGAGGTCTGGTGCCCTCTTCTGGCCTTCAGGCATATACGCAGGCAGAATATTGTATACATAATAAATATATATTTTTTAAAAAGACATTAAGTTAAGTAAGATGTACAGCAAAATTAAAACAAAGGAAAAAATGATTGTCCTGCTTTCTTGAGGGAGTGATGAGGAGCTAATGGGATAGCCAAGCATTCTACCATTGAATTCTGTCTCCAGTTCAGGAGTTGAATGTTATCTTGTTGAACCTGTCAAAGTGTTGGCAGCTAGTTTAGGTAAAGAACTCCTACAATTGAAGGAAGCAATAGGGGTGGGGGCAGATGAACCAAAGATGAATTAATAATTTACAGAAGCACAGATTAGCAGTTGATAAGAAAAAAATCTATTCCATTAGGAAGAGAGTTAGAAAGAAAGTACAAAATGAGGCTCAGAAACAGTCACTTCCTACCATGTACTGCAGTATTTGTGCTTCAGGAATGTGAATCAGCCACTTTGGTAATTAACCAGCATCTTCTTAGATTTCAGAATTTGTATTTCTTTGCTCCAGTACTCTGGTCTAGCTAACATTGGTATCTGGTTAAAGACCCACCTAGTATGTTTTAAATCGCTGAACAGTTTTTACACTGAAGTAAAAAATAAAAAATAGTTTTTTGTGTGTGCTCCCCTCCCCCAACAGGGTTTCCCTGTGTAACAGTCCTAGCTGTCCTGGAACTAGCTCTTGGAGACCAGGCTGGCTTCGCACTCACAGGGATTCACCTGCCTCTGCCTCCCGAGTGCAGGGATTGAAGGCGTGCGCCACCACCACCTGGTTGAAAATTTTTTAAAAAATGGCTGGAGAGACTGTTCAGCATTGAGCACTGACTGCTCTTCCAGAGGACCTGGGTTCAGTCCCCAGCACCCACATGGCAGCTCACAACTTTCTGCAACTTAAGTTCCAGGAAGTCTTAACACCCTCACAGATATAAACAGACAAAACACCAATGCACATAAAATAAATAATTAAGCAAACAAACAAGCAATGCAGGTGTCTGGACCAAAGTCTAGGTTTAGAAGTATCATGCTTTGCCAGCAGCTTGCTTGGAAAACGTTCTAGACACACAGTGAATGCTTAGAAGTGGTTTTGGAAACTCAGTGAGTAAAATAAAGTGCAGTGTCTTTTCAAAGCTCACCTCAGGTAGCAGGTGCAACCATAGGGCAATATAGCAAATGTGAGGACAAGCACTTGGTCTACTAATTGACACTTGAGGTCCACAGCACTCACCACATGTGAGTTCTTCTTTTTCTTCTTTTTCCCTTGGTGTTTTGAGGAGACTCCTGAACCTCATGATCCTCCTGTCTTGGTTTTCTGACTGCTAGGATTAAAGGCATTCACTGCTGTCTCCCTGGGAGTATATTTCCTTACATCTAGGAAAGGCCAGAATCAAGATTGGGTGTGTGGGCTGAGGATGCAGCTCAATGGTGGGACACTTTTTTTATTCCTCTTAAACCTAACAGTGCCTCAGCCAGCTTTGTGTATAGCTTTGTGTTTGTATGAAAGCATTCATATGTATTCTCTCCTCTTTGTGTTATGGGCTTCTTTGTGTTGTGCCTCCGAATGTTTTCAGCCTTTGTCCTTTCAGGTTCAGATGAGCACTTCATCAATGACCTCTCTCCGTAGCTCTCTTTTCGTTTTGTTTTGCTGTTTGCTTTTGAGGCAGGGTTTCAGCTGTGTACCTCTGTCTTCCCTGAAACAGATCCCTGACTCTGCCTCTAGAGTGCTGGGATTAAAGTTGCTGGCACACTTTCTCTTCCTCCTGTTTTTCATCCTATGTTTTGGAAAGGCAATTGGTTGGCATTCTTGATTCATTTTTTCAAGACAAGATTTCTCTGTGTAGCTCTGGCTGTCCTGGAGCTCACTTTGTAGACCAGGCTGAACTTGAATTTAGAAATCTGCCTACCTCTACCTTCGGAGAGCTGGGATTAATGATGTATGCCACCACTGCCTGGTGACACTCTTGATTTTTGACTAAGTGGATTTTTTAGTTCCTTGACTCCTTTTCTGATTCATTTTTAGACTTCTTGGGAGAGTTCATTTTAGCTAATTTATCCACATATATGAATTCCTAAAACAACCCAGGAAATGGTTTATTAGCTCATAGTGAGTTAAACTTATCTGTGAAGCAGAGGAGTGGGGTAATAAAGTAACAGTACTGTCTTGGATCTTTCTGTTCTAGGTATTCGCTTTGTCTACTCACCCTTATGGCTGCAGGGTGATTCAGAGGATCCTAGAGCACTGTCTCCCTGACCAGACTCTCCCTATCCTTGAGGAGCTTCATCAGCACACGGAACAGCTTGTGCAGGTACTACTACAGACTCCGGGCTCTTGTAGGCCCAAAGTGTGTGTCTTGTTAGCAGAAAGTATCAACATATCATCAGTGTACTTCAGATCTTTGGAGCTTGTGTTCATCACAGCCCAGTTTGTGTTTCATGAAAATAGGCAATGATTTGAAGCCCTGACCTGTGATTTGGGGTCTGGGTCTCTGCTCCATTGGCACACAAGCCAAGTGTACTAGCTGATTCTTCTTTTGGGATGAATCCTGATTGTTTTGTTGTATCAGATCTCCAGAAAGATGCAAACAAACTTTTTGCAACTTCTAATAGAAAACATTTATTTTCTAAATACTCCTTCCCCCATTCTGAAATAATTATAGGCCTACTTTTTTGTGAAGAAGATAGCTAGGAAGTAGGTGTATAAATATATAAAGAGAAATAATCTGTAGTCTAGTAACAATGTGTTCTCGTTTGGAATGAGAGGGAATAATTGTTACTCCGGTCCATTTTAAAAATTGTTGTAGGTTCCTTCACTTTTAGATAAGCTGTCACGGTGCTACATGAGCGATATATATTAATTATATGAAGGATCAAATAACCCAGAGAACTGTTATTTATGTATATTTTCTTTGTTTTGTTGCTTCTCAAATAGGATCAGTATGGAAATTATGTAATCCAACATGTACTGGAGCATGGTCGTCCTGAGGATAAAAGCAAAATTGTAGCAGAGATCCGAGGCAATGTACTTGTATTGAGTCAGCACAAATTTGCAAGGTCTGTGCTCTGGGAAGTGAGGATTGGGTAGTATTTCAGCTGCAGAGTCTTTTTGTTGTTAGACATTTCTCTGTCCCACCAGCTAGCTCCCAAATCATTACATGCAGACTTACTGTTAATTTTGAAGGTTTGTTTTGTAGCTTAGGATTGTTTCTAAGTAGCTCTTATAACTTAAATTAACCCATTTCTTTTGATCTATATTCTTTTATGTGGTTCAGTTGCCTTTACTTTGTAATGCTTGTGCTGCTTGTTCTGTGTTCTGACACCTCTGCCTTTCTTCCTAACATCCTCTATGCCTGGGAATTCTGTCTAGCTATTGACCTTTCAACTTTTTATTAAAGCAGTCTGAGTGACACATCTTCACAGTGTACAAAAAGATTATTTCACAACACTTTTTCCTTAAGTTTTTATACTTGCTTATTTTTTTATTTGTGGGCATTTGTCTGTGTACTCGTGTGCACTGTACTGCTCTGCACATGTGGAAGTTAGAGGATAGCTTGTGGGAGTTGGTTCTCTTTTATCATCTTACAGGTTCTAGGTATCAAACTCAGTTTGTTGGTCATAGCCTCGAGTACAGTTACATACGAAGCCAATCTCCTGTGTGTTTCCTACCTTTGTGGTGGACATTGTTAGAGCCTCCACTCACCTTCATCTTTGGCCTGAGAGGGACAAGTTGCCAGGTCTGTGCAGGACTCAACTTCTCAGCTTTAGAACATCAGACTTGGAAAATTCCAGCTCCGTGCCTTAGCTGGGCGCTTTTCTGAGCAGGGTTCACTCCTCACTGCTCAGGGAACATAGTGCTGATTAGTTTTCTAGGATATTCTTCCCTGGCATTCTTGTGTGATTTTTCTCTCAACACAGCTTTCTTTTTTTGAGGGGGGGGGGGGTCAGGGTTTATATTGATGTTCATTAATACTTTCTTTCAATTAGTGAGATCTGTTGTAAAAATTATATTTTACAATTGTGTGTGCATGTGTGTACTTGATTAAACATGTACATTCATTCCATGGTATCCATGTGGAGCTTGATGACAACTTGATAGAGTAGATTAGGTTCTTTCCTATCCTGTGGGTTCCAGAGAATGAACTCAGGTCGTCAGGCTTGGCGGTGGTAAGCACATTTATCCACCATGCCATCTAGCTGGTCTGTTAATTTATGAGCTCTGTGAGTACTGCAGCCTAAATCAAAGCACTTAGTATAACTTAGTCTAGAGAAGCCTACGGGCAGCATGCCTGCATGATGATTCCTTTTGGGGTTGCGCTTACTGAGTACGGTCTGTTTGGTAGGTTTGGCCTCTTGTTAGCCTTCTCTCCTTAAGGGTTTGGGACCTAGAACTCTCTCCTCTTTGAGCCCTTGGCAAAGCCTCAACTTTCACCAACTCCCATGTACTGACTGCAGCTGGGTCTTGGGCTCAGTAGCAGAAGTGCACACAGCACAGGGTTTATTTGTGTATCCTCAGTTATCCTAGAACTCACAAAAGTTCTCCAGCCTCTGCCTCTTGAGTGCTGCAGCTAACGATGTTCACCACCACTGTCTGGCTAGCATACTCTGTTGTTAATTTGTGCCCCGGGAACTGAGGTGAGGAATCACTGTGTGGTGACTAGTCATCAGTCTGGCAGCCAGACATTTCATGTTAGAAAACTGTGCTAAGTGTTCACAAGTGATGACAGAAGGCAGGGCCCTCTGTGCTTCTCTGCTGAAGTGCTGTGCTCCTGCTTGAAGTTCCTTCGCTGAGCTCAGCTCTCCCGCCATGGCCCAGTGTCTGAGTCATGGCTGGTATGACCAAAGGAGTTTTGTTGCTGAGCCTGAGCTTACAGATGCAAGGACAGTATCATAAGTCTTGGTGTGAGTTGAAGTAGTGATTGTAAACGAGTTGAGCTGTTAGAAATCTCTGCTGTGAATCTTGCTATGAACTTCGCAAGCTCATTACTGTCTTCTGTCAGCAGGTCAGGGCCCCTCTCATAGAACACTGGGGCTCAGGTGACTCACTGTTGGACACCCCAGTGTTAAGACCAAACAACATTACAGAACCAGGCTTTGGACAGATGAATTACCATCCAAACCATCTCTTTCTTCCCTTGTTGTTCATCCTAAAACACACAGCCAAGAGGGACCTTATCTGATTGTTCTTCCTAATTTTCCGCATGACAGCAATGTTGTGGAGAAGTGTGTCACTCATGCCTCACGTACAGAACGTGCTGTACTCATTGATGAGGTCTGCACCATGAATGACGGTCCCCACAGTGCCTTATACACCATGATGAAGGATCAGTATGCCAACTATGTGGTCCAGAAGATGATCGATGTGGCTGAGCCAGGTCAGCGGAAGATTGTCATGCACAAGGTAAGCATATTGGGTACCAGCCCAGAGTGGGAAAAGGACCAGGTGGACCGTATTCAGATATAGAAGATAGTAGATAGTGGGCTTCTTTGTGTTGCTATACCAGACTTGTTCTGTGCTCCCTCCTCTCCATGTTTGCCACTTCTCTCCTCAACTCACAGAATGGGAGTCCTGGTTCTGGTTTTTGTTTTGTTTTAAACTTTTTTTCCCCTTCTAGAGGTTTGGGTATTTTGTCTGCATGAGACCCTGTGCACTGCATGCCTGCAGTGTTTTTTAACACCTTGTTTAGTGTGTGATTGTGCTGTGGTGCATATCTAGGTCACAGTGATGTGGTCAGGTTTCATGGCAAGTGGCCTTTACTCACATAGCCATCCTGTTGGTCTGTAAGAAGCATATTTCCTGTTTTTGAATATTGTTTTGAGGGTTGAACCCAGGTCTGGTGCAGCCTAAACTAGCATTCAGCCACCAAGCCACATCCTGGCCCTTGTTTGTTTATTTGTTTGGGAGGTTGGTTTGTTGACAGAGCTTTGTTGTTAACCCCAGGCTGGCCTGAAAGCTATAGTCCTAATTGCTGGAATCACAGACATATGCTACCACACTTAGATGTGAGTGAGAACATATTTTTGTGAGGTAATTCCGTCCCTAGTCTCTGAGATCATCTCATCAGTTCAGGGTAGCCTACTTCCTGTGTCTCCTTTTCTTGTTCTTTGTGTTCACTGATCCCATCATACTTTCCTGCAAAGGTCTGGTCCCTGCTGCTGACCCACAGTGTGGACAGGACAGTGGACAATGGTGCTGCCCATGGAGGAGGCCCTCACCCAACCCATGCAGAATCAAGGCTGGGGATAGTTAGACAGGAGAAAGGGAACAGAGGCCCAAACAGCTAGCTGCTGTGAGTGGGGATTGGTAGGGGAGTCATCCAAGAGGCCCACGGGTAGGGAAAGCACACTACAACTGCTTGTACCAGGTGATGCCAAGGCCTCTGGCCTGTACCCCTCAGCCTCTGTGCTCTGAGTTCCCTCAGCCTTCTCCGTGGAGGGGTTGCTGTTGTCTGGCAATGATGACCCACTTGCCCTCACTGAGGACAAAGTTCGATAATGAGAATCTTTATTATGGACTCGTTCTGAGCCAGGCAGAATCCCACCAGCTCTGATTCAAATCCATTGAACTACCAGCCAGTGGTGCAGATGGTGGCAGTTGAAGGCTGGTGGAGCCCAGGGCACTTGGGGTGCTTCTCACAGCTTGTTGGCATGTGGAGGTGCTAGGAGGCGGTATGGTAGTATGTAGCAGGCAGGAGCTGGAAGTACAGCTGTCGATGAAGCAAATAACTAAACCTGTGGCGATAGGCAGATCCTCAGAACTGCGATGTCCTGGTGCTCACTGAGGGACTGTGCTCATAGGCACGGGAAAGCCAGGAAGAGCGGATGTAGGACGGGGAAGAGAATAGAGTATGGTGGAGTGGTGCTTGCACGGTGCATGATTAGAAAGAGGGCCCTTTAAGGGAGGACATTTGAGTACAGCTTTCTAGGAAGAGGCCACAGTAGTGAAGACTTCGGGACCTGAGAGGAGACTCTGTTTAATACTTTTTACATTTACTTCCACTTTGTGTGTGTGCTTCAGCCCGCATGAGAAGGTCAAAAGGCAGCTTAATTGCTGGAGTCAATTTTTTTCTTCTTCTATGTGGGTTCAAAGGGTGTCAGGCTTGGTAGCAAGTGATTTACCCATGGAGCAAACACTCAGGCCCAGGACAATTGTGCCGCCACTGTAATTTGGAGTAGGGGAAGCCATGAAAACAGCTGAGCTAATATAATAGCTGGTAGCATTTTTCAGATTGAAGAGAAGTGGTCAGTGTAAGCTAGAATCAAAAGGAGAGGGGGGGTCAGGAATGGCTCGCTCACCAATAGGGTTTGTGTTAGAAGAGTGGAAAGTAACATCTCATGCCTTACCAGTCCAAGTTAAAAGTGGAGTGCAGCAAAGCTGTGGAGAGTGGGGGTGGGGTCAGGGGAGAGGGAAGGGGAGTGCAGGTGAAGAACTGTGAAAGCCAAAGTGTGTGTGCACATGCGTGTGCGTTCAAGGCTGGGGGTCTAGTGAGAGAAACCCTTGTTGAAGACATGGTCCTTACCACATCTGGGGCTGCAGCACTCCTGGATTCTTTGGATAGGCAAGCTTGGAAAGGTATGTAGATTGTTACTTAGCCCCCAGACTAACAGCTTCAGCCGTTGTCACTGAAGGTGCCAGGAGGAGGTGTGCTGTTTCCTAGCCTGTGTTCTGTGTGGGTTCATAGCAGTTTCTAGAGCTCCTTGGCCCTTCCCTCCTCTGAGCTTACACTTGGGCAAACTGCTGGCGTTGTAGGCTTCAAGATGGGCTGCCACCTGTTTCCTGGCATGGTGTTCCTTGAGGTTTGTGTGCAGTGTGAATTTTTTGTTGAGAACACTGTTAAAGTACCCCTCCACCATCTTCTATTTTCTGTGTAGAAAGATTATTAGGCAAGCAGAGGGGAGCCAGCACTGCTAAGTTTATAGCATGGCCCCTGAGCTTTAAGTGAGGCCCCTCTCATGTGAGCTGTGTATCTTCTTTTTCCTCAGCTGCCATGGCACAGTGTCTAATCTTACTTCCTTTGTTTCCGTCTGTCTTTCCTTATTTATTATTTACTTATTTATTTATTGGTGTATTAAGGTTTCTATTGCTGTGGTAAACACAATGACCAAAAGTATCTTGGGAAGGAAAAGGTTTATTTCATCTTTAAAAACTCTTGGTCTACTCTATTATTGAAGGAATTCAGGGCAGGAACTGATACAGAGAGGCAATGGAGGAACGCTGCTTGCTGGCTTGGCTTGCTCAGCCTGATTGCTTATAGCACCCAGGACCACCTGCCCAGGGGTGGTACCAGCCACAGTGGGCTGGGTCCTCCCTCATCAGTCATCAATCAACAAAATGCATCACAGTCTTGCTCACAGGCCAATCAGGTGGGGACATTTTCTCAATTGAGGTTCCCTATTCTAAAATAACTTTAGCTTTATCAAATTGACATAAAAACTAGCTAGCATAATCAATCCCTTGTCACCTTTATACACAATCGCATTACTTGTAAAGTGTAACCTTTACTTTTTTGTTTATCCCCAGGAGCTCATATTAATACTAAGCTCACAATACAAAAATCTCAATCTTTTAAACCTCTGTGATCTTTACAAATACTTTGAAAATCTAATTTCTTTAAAATATCCAGAGTTTCTTAACTGTGGGCTCCTATAAAATCGGAATAAGTTAAATACTTTTTTATTCTGAGAGGGAAGAACCAGGACAAAATCACAGTTCAGCAGTGTAAAGCTCAGTGTCTGACTTGTAGGACTCAGTACCGGAATCCTTGGGTTTCTCCAGGAGGCTTCGACAGCTGCCCACAGCCCCTACAGTATATCTCCTAGGCTCAGGTTGGCTCCATTGCACAGCTGTCCACAGCCCCTACAGTATATCTCCTAGGCTCAGGTT